GCCCTTAGGAGCGCCCCGCGGGCAGCAATTCCTCGCCATCAGCCGCTCCTAACAGGTGATCATGGCAAAGCGCAGAGAGCTCCCTACTCCCCCCAAACACCTTTGCTGCAGACCCAAGACCTTTGGCACCTGCCGCTGTTGCTTTCCCTTCTACCCATTCCGCCGCCACGTTTGGAGCTGCCGCCGCCGTTTGGAGTGCCGCCGCCATTTGGAGCACCGCTGCCACGTTTGGAGCTGCCGCTTCCGTGTTTGGAGCTGCCGCTGCCGTTTGGAGTGCCGCCGCAGTTTGGAGCACCGCCACCACGTTTGGAGCTCCCACTTCTGTGTTTGGAGCTGCTGCCGTGTTTGGAGTGGCAGCGGCGCTCCAAATGGCGGTGGTGCTCCAAATAGCGGCAGTGCTCCAAACGCTGAAGCGGCAGCTCCAAACACAGCGGCAGCTCCAAACACGGAAACAAAAACGGTGTTTGGAGCTGCCACCGTGTTTGGAACTGCCGCCGTGTTTGGAACTGCCGCTTCCGCGTTTGGAGCACTGCTGCTGTTTGTAGCACCACCGCCATTTGGACCACCGCCACCACTCCAAACACAGTGGCAGCTCCAAACGCGGAAGCGGCAGCTCCAAACGTGGTGGCGGAATGGGCAGAAGGGAAAGCAACAGCGGCAGGTGCCAAAGGTCTTGGGTCTGCAGCAAAGGTGTTTGGTGTGAGTAGGGAGCTCTCTGCACTTCGCCATGATCACCCGTTAGGAGCGGCTGGTGGCGAGGCTGCCCGCGGGGCGCTTTAGATGAGGATGAAAGGGGGAAAATTAAGTCACCCCCGAAAAGACGGCCTAGCTGTTTTTTCAGGGCTCAAAAAAAATAAGGCCTGGCCTTATTTTATGAGAAACACGGTAGTACAATAAATTCAACTATCATTAATTGTGGTATCTATTCTATCATCAACTATTTATAATATAACAAAATACTATGACATCATCATCTTTTGTCCTTATTTTTTTAACTGAAAAAGTCAAAACACTATATTATTCCATTCTATATTTGAAAAAAAGGTGCTCTTCTATTACTGCATACAATAATAAACAGATATTTCCCATGAAATCAAATATTATAAGTATATTAAAATCAGACTCCAAAATAGATTATAGGTTTCTCTTAAAAATGATCATATACAGAAAATGACTCAAACTGTAGCACTATGTACAGGTAGTCCTCAACTTACAACAGTTTGTTTAGTGACAGTTTGAAGTTATAATGGCATTGAAAAAGTGATTTACGATTATTTTTCACACTTAAGATCATTGCAGCATCCCCATAGTCACATGATCGAAATTCAGACACTTGGCAACTGACTCTTATTTATGACACTTGCGGTGTCCTGGGGTCATGTATCACCTTTTGCCACCTTCTGACAAGCAAAGTCAATGGGGAAACCAAATTCACTTAACAACTGTGATACTAACTTAACGAAGTAAATCACTTAACAACAATGGCAAGAAAGGTTGTAAAATGGGGCAAACCACTTAACAACTGTCTCATTTAGCAACAGAAATTTTGGTGAGTTGAGGACTACCTGTACTACCTGTTCTTTGTGCTATAATTTTCTAAGATTTTTGCTACAGACTTAAGTTGCTTTCTGACAGTCCTTTTAGAATCAGTTTATTTTCAGATGACTTTACTGTTCATTCAGTTTTGCCCTTCAATAATTGAATTTGTAGAAAAACAAAATGTTTAAGGCAATAACAACAGAAATTGCAACAGAATACCCTATATCACGAGGCTTGGGATTTTGGGCTTGAATTACGCCGCCTACAATTAGACTTAAGCGTAGTACACAAAATTATCTGCTACAATGTCCTTCCAGTCAATGACTACTTCAGCTTCAATCACAATACAAGAGCACACAACAGATACAAACTCAATGTAAACCGCTCCAAACTTGATCTCAGAAAGTATGACGTCAGCAACAGAGTAGTCAATGCGTGGAATGCACTACCTGAATCTGTTGTTACATCCTCTAACCCCCACTCCTTTAACCTCAAACTATCCACTATTGACCTCACCCCATTCCTCAGAGGTCTGTAAGGGGCGATTGACAAATCAAACAAATAAATAATAAATAAAACAATCAATGCACCCCAAATGACTATGCAAGGCATTTAAAGGTATTAATATTGAAGTTTCCACATGAGAAACTATTACAAATACCATGGATTTTAGAACAAAACAGTTACCTATATAAATAACCAGGATAAGGAGATTGTAGTTGGCTTAAACTATATTATTTTTCTATAAACGTCTAACAGATAGATAGACAGACAGATAGATAGATAGATAGATAAAACTATAAGTAGATCACTTTTCTCCAACCTGGTACCCTCCAAATGGGAAAGCATGATTCTCATCACCTGTATCAGCATAGCCATTGGTCACATTGTCTGGGGATAATGGAAGTTGCAGTAGAATACCCATCAAGGTCACCATTTTGGGGAAGATTGAAAAAGCTTGCAAATTCTTTCAGAAAGTGCACTCAATGATTAAAAATCAACAGATCCTAACTAGTCTTAAACTCTATTTAAAGAATAGAATTCAATCAGTAGCCCCATCAAATAGTTAATTGCTGTTTCTTTCAGACATACTATAAATATTCAATACACAATTTTATAAAATCTATTTACACATAAGATAGATTCACTGTTACAGCTAGAAAGCAAAGGCTCTTTCTAATCTCATTATGTTGATAGGTATAGAAATATTATATTAATGTGTAAATAGAATATCTAAAGTAAGTTGATATAGCATTCAGAATTTTTATTTAATAGGTTCCAAATATGAAGATTTATTATGTTTATAAACTTGCAAAAATTCCTTGGAAAAGTTCTAATCTAGCTTCTTTCAAATTCTATAATACCTGTTATGCATAGGCATTTTTTAAAAATTAGTCACCATGTACATTTGAACCTCATATTATTACATATCAGACATATTACTCATCTAAAGAAACAGTATGATTAGAACCAGTGGGACTCCACCCATGAAAATTGCAAATAAATCTTCTCCTATGACTATCATATCAGCAGGAACATAGCATAAATCATACACATGAACAGAAAGGAGTATTCTGTTACTGATGAATAGCCTTGTATTATTTCTAGACCATTTACAAAATCTAAAACTTACAAAAACTAAAACCATCATAGATGGGAATAAACAATTCATTCCTCTATTTTTAAAATTATATTCCAAGTCATATTTTCAAACCTATAAAAAATTAGGGCAGGAATTGCTGTCAAAAATTAAGCATCCGTGTGACTTGAGATATAATATATTTCAATGTAACCAAGGCTACAATCTTCAATGGAAATTAAGTTTTGTTGAATTCAACACATATGACTTACTTCTAACCAAGTAGGCAAAGTGTTTTATCCTTGGAGTATAAAAGTTTCTGCCTTAGTGTATTCTTGTTCTCCGATGTTGTGCCATGCATAAAACACCCAGACACAAACTGACCAGTGTGACATATGCAATACAGGTAAGTCTTCAAATTATGACCGCAATTGACCCCAAAATTTCTATTGCTGAGGTGTTTGTTTAGTGAATTTTGCCTCATTTTACTACCTTTCTTGTCACAGTTGTTAAATGAATTGCTGCAGTTGTTAAGTTAGCATCACAGTTGTTAAATAAATCTGGCTTCCCCATTGACTTTGCTTGTCAGAAAAGTCACACAAAAGATGATCACCTGACCCTGGAAAATTGCATCCCTCATAAATGAAGCATCTGAATTTTGATCATGTGACTATGGGGTTGCTGCAACAGTCATAAGTGAGAAAAACTGTCATGTCACTTTTTTCAGTGCTGTTGTTAATTCAAATGGTCACTAAATGAACTGTTGTTAAGTCGAGGACTACCTGTATAATGCAATGAGACAAGTACAAATCTATACATTGGAGAAACAAAACAAACACTTCACAAACACATGGCACAACATAGGAGAACAAACTCATCAGGACAAGATTCAGCAGTCCATCTGCATTTGAAAGACAAAGGTCATTCTTTTGAAGACAGCAAAATACACATTCTGGATAGAGAAGGCCATTGGTTTGAAAGAGGGATAAAAGAGGCCATCTATGTTAGAATCAAACAGCCCTCCCTCAACAGAGGGGGATGAATGCACAGCCACCAATCCCTTGTCTTACAATGCAGTCTTTTCAGCAGTTCCGAGAAGATTCCACACCATTTGGACTCTCATTCAGGTGACCCTGAGGGCACAGCTAAATTCCCAAGTGCCCTCAACAGATCTCAGAGAGTGTTATTGACCAGATGACTGCAAAGGAATATGATCTTTCCAGCCCATCCTGACCATCCTGTTATAACTAATCTTTCCATCCTTCCCATCATTCATTGATCTTATTGGACGAGAAGCAAAACATCTTCTTCCTCGGGAAAAAAAACTGTCCAGTTGCCTTTTGAAAAATCACATTTGAGGTAATCATGTCTTGGATGACTAAGAATCTCCACAGACATTTACGTATGTTGAATTTCTCTTTTACATTTTAATATATTCTGTATACTCTTGAATTGTTTAAAGGGACTACATATTCTAAACTGTTCTAATTTCAAAATTAACTTTGATACCACATAGGATGCCTTAATTGCAATATTTAGTAATGCTAAAAAATTATAGGTTGACTTAGGCACAACCACAAAATACACTCTTTTTGTTTTTCCTTTTAATGTTCCAGAAATCAATGCATATATGTGGCACCAGGCCCATCCACTCAAATACTTAAGTAACACACCTTTGCCTCTGGATATGGATGTTTGAATGCGTAGGAGGCAAATCTCAAACACAGATGGGTTAGGCTGGCAATATATTCTCTTAAACAAACTATTCCATGTATTTGCTCTAATGCTCAGATTATCCAAACACCTTTGCTTAAAATTCTCATTCAACCTACACAACTAATCTCAAATATAGTTGATTACATTCTCTGCCCCACTTCCTCACCTGACCACGTTGGGATGCTCAAATGTTTCCAGATGCTTCAAGACTGCCACCTCGCGTATAGTGGAAAGTGGCATCCCTTCCTCGCTGGTCTGCACCCGCACCCTCTTCAGAGCTACAAAGCGCCCTCCATTCTTCAAGTCTCGGGCCTTGAACACTTTCCCATAGGCTCCTTCACCAATTTCCGCCACACATTCATACTGCTGGTCAGCTAGGCTCATGTTGTCCTTATCCATGACTTCACGGCTTTCTTCACAAATTGTTGTCTGATGTTTCAACTGTTGAATCTGTGGATCTGGATTCCAGTTGCCAAAATGTGTTTTCTGCTACTTCAACAAGTATCCAGAACAATTACAGATGGGCCAGTCAATAGGATGTAACATTCAAGAACTGTAGTAATAAACCGTGGTTGCCCTATTGGTTAGCTGGTCAATGGTCTTTGGAATAAATTTCTGTGTAAACCCAATTCAATCTATAAAACCAAAGTGTGTGTGAGAGAGAGAAAGAGAGAGAGAAAGAGAGAGAATATATTATTTCTCTATCACAGAATATCTTTTCATTTATTATTTCAATTGTTCACTTACTTAATAAATAATATAACAGCATTAATTTCACTACTTAGTATGCATTACTGGATTACATCCCCATTATTAGCATTAATATCCCATTCCCTATATTACTAATTTTGTCTCCCTTCAAAGATTGCTCATTTTATTTTCTCAACAAAACTGTCAAGTTGGTCTAAGGGACAATGGTTGGAATTACTGGTATCTACTACACCAAACCAAACATAGTTTTGGCCAGTTATGTGTACCTTATCAAGTTGTAACCAGATACACACAATTAAACCAAACAAATTCCAATACAACAGAACTCTTATATTATCTTGTTCACTGAACAAGTCACAATCTATTGTGACATTGAACAGGTCACAATCTCCACATTCTAAACTCTGTAAGTCAAGACTATCAGTATTGAATTCAGTCTCAAAAATATACTAGTAATCTTTTAAAATTGAAGGTTTCTATTTCTACTAGCTAAAATTTCCAAGCCATCTTCAAGGTCAGAGTATAATCCATTGAGATGCTTCAGATTTATAGACTTCAGATTTATAGACTTCAACTTCTAAAATTTCTCAACAAAGAACTGCTTTTCTGAGAATTTTGCTATTGCTTAGAATTCTGGGAATCAAGTTCACGTATCTAGAGGGAGTCCAAAGTGGGAGAAAATCAATAATATAAATGGAGAATTGCTATGGCCGGATAAGCAAAGCTGCAGCCAGGCAAAATAGTCAAGAAATGGACTTGAACAGAAATGGACTTGAATAAAGGCTAAAAAATGTTCAGCAGAGTTAGTAATGTGCAAGACAAAGACAAGATGTAGGTGAAATTCATTTTTCATTATTTCTAAAATTGATCATATTTGGTTTTAACAATGCTCTGATTATTTTATATGTCCAAAGAGGCATCTAATTTAGAAAAAAAGAGACACAAATATCGATTCATCCAAAGGGTGTGATAGAAGATCCCCAAATGTACATCTTAGGGCAAGGTAATAAGTTTTAATCTCACTAAGCACATTGATGTTGGAATGCTTTCTATGTGTAAGATGTGTCCCATGAAATTACCAGGCTTAAAAGTGTTTTCTTCAAATTTAGTCAGTACCAGTAAAATAGGTGAAGAGAGTTGATTTTTAATCAAACCATAGACATTATAATTTATCAAATCCAAACCCCATAATATTTATAAGTCTAATCTTTTTCAAGATAGACATTTAAATTATCCAGTATGTGAAAAATTCACAAGACAATGTGGGAATGATTCAACAATGAAAAATCAATGCATGGTTGAGAGAAGTAAGCTTTATATCCATAGTTGTCATCTACAATCAGTGATAAATTATGACTGGCTACAGCAAATTCAACCTCCAAGTAATAAGGAGTGACAAGGGCTACAAAACCTGTCTATATACAAATCACCAACTTCTCTATATTATCCCTAATGAGCAACCAAAGCATCACCAAGAATCAAAAAACTCTTTTAATTTTGCTGTAAGTAAATGCCAAAAACCAGTAATTATGAAAATAAGATTCTTTACTATAACTTCAAGATTATTAAGGTAATTGCTAGTATTTTACAGATAAAAATGGAAACAAATTCAGTAAAAAACTATAGAAAAAAATGGGTACATTCAGATAACAGTAAGCCAGAATTTTTAAGCTACACATTTCTTGAAGAAAACACTATGCCTGCCTCAAAGCATTAAATCAAACATATGCTTTAGCATGAATCAGGTTTATGTTTTATATGAGTGTTGTATAACTGAGTTTATTAATAACAGAACAATTGATTTTGTACTCCAAACTTTAGAGTTCTGCTTAGTTATCCCAAAGATATTTTTATTACTGCACCTCTTTTTCTCATCCTCCTACTTAATTCTCTGCTTCTGCCATTGTGGCTGTGTAAACCAAAAAGTTATTTGCTGTAGACTAAGTACATCTTATTAAAGCATTCATATTCTTTACAAAGTTTGTGCAGATGGTTAAAAAATCCCCATCTGAAAATACATTTCCTGAGATTACTGGTGAAGAAAATAAATTTGAGCATGCATATGTATTCAAGGAGAAGACTGATTTCACAATAGCCACACAAGTTTTTTAAAGGGCATGGATGCTATAATGCCTTAAGAAAGATGCTCTATTTGTGCTAACTTACTACCAATTTTTCATAAAGTCCTATTGTCTGTACCTGTGAATTAATCTCAGAATTTCTAACCAATGAAGATGACTAGCTGGGAAGACATCTCTTTTTCAATACACTAGAATATGCTAGGTTGAACAAGATTGGCCTTTTGATTATTGCTATACTTTGGTTGTTTTTCTTAAAAGGTCTTTTCCCACTATATTGGCTTACTTATTTCCTAATTATCCCAAAAATCCTTATTGTTTCTTCTAGTTTTCCTTTTAAAACCTTATGTCACTTCCCATGCCTTTCACAGCTTTCTACTTCTTCCATTGAATTTTCCCTCCTGTCCATATTTTTTCCTATGCTTTCGTTCCCTTTTCAACATTTTCACCTTTTCTAATATTTTATTCAAGAATTATGAAGTTCGCATTTCTTCCCCCCCCCCCCCCCCCCCCAGGCTATATGTACACTGCAATATGAGTTTTTATTCTGCATACTTAACCTCCTGTTTGTCGGAACTCCATTAGTGACAATTTCTTGAGCAGTTGAAAAGTATGAATACTGTTCTCTAAATGACTACTCAAATTTACTAAATGGAAGAACAGAGATTATTTACTGATAAGTATAGAAATGTGGTAGAAGAATCCTTGAGATCACTACTTATGATTTCTACAATATATAGGAAAACAATATATTGCATGAAAGCTAATAAATTTAGTATGACATATGACAAACTTAATCAACATATGCTACCTTTTCCCAATCAATGTCCTAAAAGCATTTCTGAAAGCATGCATATTTGCATTATTTATTTAAAAAGATCCCTGATAGCTAAGACATTTGTTTTCTTAAGAAAACTCTTTAATTTTTAAATAAATACCTTACAGATAATTCTTCAAAAGCAAAAAAGAGCTTACCTTCTTTTTATACCAACCTATATCATTTTTATCTTCTACCAGAATTACTGATTCATATAATTATCACTTGGCTAAGTAGTATTAAGGGCCCTTGTTAAAGTTGATAATTACATTTCTCAGAACTATGTTTTAAAGCAGTGGTCCCCAACCTTTTTTGTGCCAGGGACCAGTTTCACGCAGAAACACTTTTTCAAGGACCGGGGGGGGGAGTCCGAGTTTGGTGGTTTGCTTGCAGACGTTTCATTATCTGACTAGGTAACATCTGATGTTGTTACCTAGTCAGGTAATAAAACGTCTGCCAGCAAATCACCAAGTTCAGGGAGCGCCAATGCCTCCTCATTGCAACCCTGAGCGACAGATAGTCCCTGCAGGACGGCTGAGAAGCCCCGCCTCTCGGCCCTGCCTTCCTCAGCCCCATCCCTCAGGTGTCTCCCTCCCTCCCTCAGCCTCATCCCTCAGGTGTCTGCCTCGTTCCTCTCTCAGTTGCTCTCTCGCTCCTCCACCAGCCCAGGAAGAAACTGCTTCAAAGAAGCCTGCAGGGTGGCTTTTCCTGTCGGCGCAGCTCTTCCGAAGCGCCCGTTCACCCCCACCCCGCCGCCCACGGTTCAATCCAGTGCTCCGTTCTGCCTGCCTGCCTTCATTTCTGGTGGTTTCGGAGCGCAGCTCCTCCGAAGCGCCCGTTCACCCCCGCCCCGCCCCGCCACCTGCGGTTCAATCCAGTGCTCCGTTCTGCCTGCCTGCCTGCCTTCGTTTCTCGTTGTTTCGGAGCAGCTTCGGCTGAGTAAAAGAGGCGAATAGTTATTATTCTCAGCCGAAGCTGCTCCGAAACAAACGAAGGCAGGCAGACAGGCAGAACGGAGCACTGGATTGAACCTGGATTGATTGGCGGCGGGGTGGGTTTTCTCCTTTTCCTATACTGACAGCTAAGAGACTTAAGCAAGAAGTTGGAAGAAAATCCACTTTGACATCAATAGGCATTTAATGCTGAAAATAAAAAGTCAAAGGGATAATAAAGATTTCTGGATAATTAAAAGATTTTGAAAACAGGAAAGGAGAGAGGAAGAATAAAAGGGCAGGATCTGGAAGGGAGGAGACTGCCTGGAATTAAAAAAGAACTTACAGCAAAATCTCAACAAGACTTCCAAAAGATAAATTCTAACTGAAATATCACAACAAAAACCCCAAGAAGAAAAAGTCGAAAAAGAAATAAGAAGATATAACTCGGGACTATCTGGATTACTTGATGATTTCTGGATTCTTGGTTATTGTTTTGAATGACTAAAATCAATCGGGTGGTTGTTTAAAACTTTTTAAAATGGCTCCACTTTTAGAAGAACTTAAAATGGAACTTAAAAAGTACAAAGAAGATGCACAAGAAGGGAGAGGTTCTTTTGGCTTCGTATTTCAGTTTTTAGAAATGGAGATTTGGAATTATGAGAAACAAGAAGAAATGCCTGCAGAACAAGAAGATTGCGACAAAGAAGAAGCCATCTTTAATGAACAAGTAATCTTAGATGGGGGAAAAAAAGGAAAGGGGAGAAAGAGAATGGAAAGTTTAAGATTGGGAAAAACAACTCTCTCCCCCTCCCCCCCCCCAAAAAAAAGAAATAAGTGAAAAATAAGTATAAAATCAGAAAGCAACAGAAGAGGGAAATGCAGAAGAGAGAATTAGAACTAGAGAGACAAGGGGGTAAAAAGGGGAGGGAGAAGATGAGAGGGAAGAAAGAAAGGAAAAGAAGTTATAAAGGACAGAAGCAAAATATAGAGAAACAGGGCCTATTTAGAGATAATGGGTAAAAACTTAATGGAAAAAGGGATTCTGCAAAGGTACATAAGATAGTATGGTTATATTAGAAGCAGAAATAAT